TGAGTCACCAGCGACGGCGTAGGCTGCAGCCCCTGTGACAGTGGTTTGCCATGGGCTACCGTATGTAGCCAGCAGCCAGCGTGAGAGGCCAGCAGCCGCAGTGAGTGGCCGTCCAGAAGCTGGCGACTGATCTGCCTCACCCGGGAAGAGCGCAATGATGATGTCAACTTGTGCCAGTGAAGCAACGTCCTCCACAACTAGATTGAAGAACAAAAAAACGACAGCAACTTGTCTGTTCCCCTTCCCCCAATTCCCCAGCACTGTTCCCATCCCCCCAATTCCCCAATAAAATTTAAAAAATCTTAAAAAAAAAATATACCAAATCTTGTGCAATGCTGCTAAAGCAGTATTTAGAGGGAAATATAGGTTGGTGCAAAAGTAACTGCGGTTTCAGACAGTGAATTTTAAATCATTATAACTAGGCTCAAACATATCTTTATTAATCAAAATTAATTACAATCAACCATTTGATTGAACCATTACAATCAACACATTTTTGCCAACGAGAAACAAGTTTGTTTATTCCTGTAGCATAAAAATCTGTGCTTCAGGATTTGATGAACTCTTGGAAAGCATTTGCTGCATCCTGCTGGTTGTGGAAGTGTTTTTCCTGCAAAAAGTTGTCGAGATGCTTGAAGAAGTGGTAGTCGGTTGGCGAGAGGTCAGGTGAATCTGGCAGATGAGGCAAAACTTCGTAGCCCAATTTGTTCAATTTTTGAAGCATTGGTTGTGCGATGCGTGGTCAGTTGTTGTTGTGGAGAAGAATCGGGCCCTTTCTGTTGACGAATGCTGGCTGCAGGCGTTGTAGTTTTTGGTGCATCTCACTGATTTGCTGAACATACTTCTCAGATGTAATGCTTTCGCCAGGATTCAGAAAGCTGTAGTGGATCAGACTGGCAGCAAACCACCAAACAGTGACCATGACCTTTTCTGGGTGCAAGTTTGGCTTTGGGAAGTGCTTTGGAGCTTCTTCTAGGTCCAACCACTGAGCTGGTCATCACTGGTTGTCGTGTACAATCCACTTTTTGTCACACATCACAATCTGATTGAGAAATGGTTTTTTGTTGCGTAGAATAAGAGAAGACAACACTTCAAAACGATGATTTTTCTGATTTTCAGTCAGCTCATGAGGCATCCACTTATCGAGCTTTTTCACCTTTCCAATTTGCCTCAACTGCTGAACAACCGTAGAATGGTCGACATTGAGTTCTTCGGCAACTTCTCGTGTAGCAGCTTCAATGATTGCTCTCAACTGGTCGTTGTCAACTTCCGATGGCTAGCTACTATGCTTATCTTCAAGGCTGTCGTCTCCTTTGCGAAACTTCTTGAACCACCACTGCACTGTACATTCGTTAGCAGTTTCTGGGCCAAATGCATTGTTGATGTTGCTAGTTGTCTCCACTGCTTTACGACCCTTTTTGAACTCGATTAAGAAAATTGCTTGAATTTGCTTTTAGTCTAACATCATTTCCATAGTCTAAAATAAATATAAAATAATAGCAAGTAATGTCATTAGCAAAAAACCATAAAGTGAGAAATGTGCATCAAAATGATGTATAACATAACCACATTTATTTCAGAATGTATTCCAATATCAAACGGCAAATTTCAACAATGCAAAAACCGCAATTACTTTTGCACGAACCTATTACATAGTCTGTTTATATTAGAGAAAACAAAAAACTTAAATTGAAAGTTAATGGAAGTTTGTAAACAGAACAGCAAAACAAAAAGAATAAGAAAGGGAATTATAAAGAGTATAAATTAATGAAATAAAAAACAAACTATTAAAGAGAATCAACAAAAACAAAGCCTGTTTTTTGAAGACAAGTAAAATTGATAAGCTTCTGATGAGACTGATGAAGGAAAAGATGGCACACAAAGCTAATATTAAGAACAAAAGAGGAACATAAGTAGAGATGTTACAGATATTAAAAGCATAATAAGACAATATAATGAACTTTATGCCATTTTAAAAAATTTGACAATATAAGCAAATATCTAGAGAAACAAAATAAAATAAAAATTATATGTAATTTTGGTTTTTCATATTAGCTAATTTTTCTTTAGTTAAGAAATAGCATATTTTCCTATTAAATTACAAATTTTTCTTTAATAAATCCATATATAATTGTCTAAATTGGGAACTGCCAAGAGTAATAGTAATAATTTTAACAACCATTAAGTGCCAAAAGATCTTGAAATCAAAGTGGTCAGGGCCTGTATTTTACAATTTATCGATAACAACAGTACCAAATAACTACATTTGATCCAAAAAATATTTCCTGATTATCCAGTAAATTAATACTGAATAAAACACAAAGCAAGTAAGATACAAATCCCTGCTTTTAAGAAGCTGACAAACTGGGCTGGCCGAGTGGATCAGTTGGTTAAGAGTGCGAGCTCTGAGCAACAGGGTTGCCGGTTCGATTCCCACATGGGTCAGTGAGCTGCGTCCGAGCTGCTGCTGAGCTGGTGAGACAGAGCGCGTGCTCTTAGCAGGAAGGTTGCCGGTTCGACTGCCGCACGGGATGGTGGACTACACACCGCTCCCCGCTCCACTCCACCGCAACTAGATTGAAAGCAGCGACTGGACTTAGAGCTGAGCTTGTGCCCTCCACAACTAAGACTGAAGGACAACTTGACTTGCAGCTGATGGGTCCTGGAAAAACACAATGTTTTCTTTCCCCAATTCCCCAACACTGTTCCCCTCCGAAATTGCCCAATAAAAAGTCTTAAAAAAAAAAAAGATAATAGGTTTCAAAAAATAAGTATACAGTAATACCTTGGTTTGTGAGCATAATTCGTTCCGGAAACAAATTACTTGTATTGCAAGACATCGCTCGTTTACGTTACAATGGATTAGAAATGTTTGCTCGTGTTGTGGAACACTCACAAACCAAGTTACTCGCAATCCAAGGTTTTACTGTACAGGCCTCAAAATCCTCCTGTTAAAGGATGGGAAATGGAGAAAGCCAGGAGCAGGTAGTAGAGAACTGGGATAGTGAAGGAAACCAATGGGACACTCAAGTCCCTTAAGGACACTAGGACTAACTCTCTAAACTACTAGAGAAGGGTGTCAATCCTTCTCCATATCTCAATCTGAGACATTGTTCACAATAACTACCTCAATTTAAAAGATTTACTTACCACAATTAATAAGCA